TAGTTATTCTATATCTATATATACTAGCTACTCTAGATTCTAAAAGAATATATCTTAGTAATAGATTGCGTAATAGATAGATAGATTAGATTAGGGATTAATAGATTGCTTAGATCGTTAAGATTAGAGTGTAATATTAACTTAGATTAGGGATTAGTATCGTTCTAATATAGATTAGAGATCGATAGATTAATTCTATTATAGATCAGCTGAATAGCTTAGATCTCCAACATCTAGTAGTAGAAATAGGCGCGCTATTACTATCGCTAGTACCTAAATTAAAGTTAATAGACTACGCTATAGCACTACTAAAGTATAGATTATTAATAAACTTGCTCTTTATATTAAATATCTTCTTATTCTTATAACTAATCTACTAGTTATTGTATATAAGCTTCTTTTTTATTAACTTACTATTAAGGTACGGCGTTAAGTCCTTCTTATTAATAAGGTTCTTAATCTCTATAAGTAATATAACGCCGTCTTAGTAGATATACTTAACTATCTTACTAGGGTCTATAAAGAGTTATCTAAACGTACTATAGCTAGAATCTTTAATAAGTAGTTAGTTAATATATACTAGTAGATACTAGTAAGAATAACTCCTTAATTAATAGCGTATATTCTTTTCTATACTAGACAAGGCTAAAGTTAATCTTTATAGAATCTAGCTTTATATACTAGAGAGACAATGTATTCTATATTATAACCTATTAGTACTATACTCTTTAATCCCGCAGCTATAGGTTTCTAGCTAAAGATTATAAAGTTAGTAGTAACTAAATACTTATTATAACGTAATAGTAAACGGCTTAAGTTATATAGCTTTATTATACCTTACTATTATAAATCTTACGTATATCTACCTAGCTGCATACTAGAGATTCTAAAGTCTTTACATTAGAGTTCTAGAATCTATATAAATTATACGCTATAAAGCTAGAGTTTATATAGAGCTATATAGCTACTACGTTAAAGTACTAAAGATATAAATAGTCTAGCGTAAGAGTTAAACTAATACTATACTAAGTTCTATAAACTACTCTTATCTCCTTAATAAGCTTTATAAAGTTTTTAGTATCTCTTTTAGAGTCTCTCTACTTCGCCTCTATAGAGTACTTCTAATCTAAGTTGATTTCTGTAATAACTTAATATTTTATTTCTCTATTTACTATATAGCGTATTAGATTATTTATCTTAGAAAAGCATAGTAGACTACACTCTAACCTACTAAAATTAGGTATTAAAAAAACAACCGTGCAGTTAAAGTAAAAAGCTAGGTAAGAGTCTACGAAACACTACTTTAAACTCTTAGGAAGATACTTTCTTATATAGATAGAAAGTTTTTAACATTTCTATAACTATTTTTCTAAATATAGAGTAGAAAAATTTAGATTATAAGATATTCTATAGATAGATACAATATAAATTAAAGAAGTGGATTAAGAAAGATTCTTAAGAGGAAATCTAAGAGTTCTAGTAGGACTACATACTCTATCTCTGTGGCTGTCGCGCCTCCGGCCTAAGTAGTCTCCGACGGGTCCCCGAGGGCTGGCCTCTGCTGTCTAGAGTATCGTGACACCCTCTACGTAAAGTACTCTACCTTAACCCTACCCTGTCGCTCTATAGCTTGAATTGAAATCCACGATCCTTTAGCTGTGATTCGAATAAGCTTCTAGGCTCCACAGTAATGTCCAATACTGCAGTACTATTTGTTGTCATCCCAGCCTCATTTGAAGTTGGGCCAGTGCAACCGAAACAATAGTTTTGACCCAGTGGAGGATTTTGAATCACCAATGAGGAAGCTTGCACATTCCAACCCACACCTAAATCCTGTTAGCAGTGATACTTTGTACAACATCCATACTTGTCTTGTGTCAGCTTACCGTTATTGATCGCCCAGCCATGTCCGCTCCCACCGCTACCCCGATTCCTGAACATCAATGCCGCGACTTTACTACCCTCATTCAAAAAGCCGTGAGCCCATCGCTCGTGAGGTTCAATGCTCTGAACTGGATCTATCGCCGTGTACCCAATACATGCATTTGGACCTGGTGCCAGTGTTTTTATCGCCACTCCGTAACTCTTTGCGTTCTTCGCTCCTCTAGTCGTGCAATCGTGTATCAGAACTTGTGAGCCTCCGATGGCGATATCGAGAGCGTACCCTGCCCCACAATTGGTCATGCCATCACGGTTCATGACAATATTAGTAACTGTAGTGCGAGATGCGAACTTCTCAATGTCAATGTAGTTATTGAACCCTATAAGATCAAGATTGCGAACCCATGAGTCAGTCGTCCATGCAGGTATTCGGATAGCCACACCGCCGCATCGAGTGTCAGTGAGTATTTTTCCTGAGCATGTTGGCTTTACAGCCATGCTTAGGTTCTCGATACCAATCTCTGAAGCAAACCCAGGTGGCTTATAGGGCGTGAGTTGGATTGGGGCCATGATACCATTCGATGCATCAAGACTATCGGTTAGAGGCACATTGAGAACAATTTTAGTGCCGTGCACGGCATGAATTCGTCGTGGCTGTTGAATAAGTTGACCAGGCTATGCGTGCTACGTTAACTAGGAAACGTTTGCTGTAAGAGTGATAAACACACCTTTAGCTATGTAAAGTCCCTTGGGAAACCCTGTGCCTTTGAATGAGCAGTTATTCTTATGGCATTAATCTAACTCTGTGTCACACCCCGCTCAACGAACACGTGTATACTAACTGCTAGTCCATTTGCGTTAGCTACGCGTACGGTGCTTGTGCCAGCAGGTACATATTTGTTGGTAATCTTTACGCTGACGTGTCTTTTCTCTTTTCCTGTCGTGCTTCCTAATCGTACAAAATTAGTCTCTAGACTTTTTCGAGTAAGTACGGTTTTTCTAACACCGGCACCTCGTAATGTCGTTCTATTAGGTATTGTCAAGCTGGTAGTAAGTACATAAGTACCGGCTTCGAGCGCGAGAACCCTACCACCTGACTGGGATATGTGATCTAGTGCAGATTGGATGCATCGTGTTTGGTCTCCTGATTTAGCGCGAAGGAATTTGGTAGGGGGGCGGTCTTGTCTTGGAAGTGGTGTCTCAGATTGGTGATAGCTAGCATAAGAAAAGTCTGGTAGTTTGTCTCCTTTTTTCGTCTATTCCTTTTTATACTTAATGATTTCGCTGTTAACAAATGCAGATAATATTCTAAAAAGGATAAATAGAAGAGTGGATTTAGAAAGCATTCTCGATGATGTGAAAGTGGAGTTGTAGGAGAATTGTGAAAGAAATTATTTAGTGAGAGGAGAATGAGAGAGCATTTACAGCGTATACTTATACTTAGTGTTGATTCGTAATTTCGTAATCGCCAGAGAGACTTCTACTCAAATTGTTCAAGATATGGTTCATACGCTGTAAGCACCGAGTATAACCATCTCATGAAACATAATTCGCAATTTGACATGTTTACCCTTTCATTTTACAAACGAACAATTTGCCCGAGAACGTAAATTCGCGTTAAGCTAGGATGGGTCATATGTGAGGCACCTACCACAAGGGCAAATAATTTCAAGGAATACAATCGGTCCGAAACAAAGAAACACTGCAACGTTGTGGCTAATGAAACATGAACGACATTAGAGGCATGCTAGGACGGAATTATAGAGATCGCAACCCGTACTGACTAAGTAGCAACAAGGTATTTGCGGCCTGAAATTGGTTTAGAGACCATCTTGGTCATCGAGATACGTCATTTGCTTCTTCTTCTGCTCTCGATTGCTGCCATTGCATGGAAGCTGCCATCACATATTCTTGTCTGATAGCTGGTCCTTACGTGATGACATTCACCTGAGTGTCGGTCTGCTTATAACCTCTAGTACCTCATCGAAGAATGGAACCCTCCTGATCAAATACATTGCCCTTCGGATATCACTATCTGGAGTCAATCCTCTTAGAGAAAGCCGTACTATCCATCGGCGAAGCTTTGTAGTGAGATTGTCGGGACGTGAACGAGTACTGCGTATAGTTAGTCCGTACAACAATTCAGCGAATACAACACTATCTACCCCATAAAAATATTCATCTATTAAATCTTAACATATACATACTCTACTAATATGTTGGCTTTTCTAAAAGTAATGATCTTTATTAATTCATTATATATAGAATTTTAAGTGTTATATTGTATAGCTAGCGATAAAAAGGTTAAGTAATAATATAATAGTATCAATGTACTGGCGTATAGATAAAATATATTTAAGGAGTATAGGTAGTCCAAAATATTATTTAGATACTCCACTTTACACATTACATTTAATAAAATATAAAGAGCAGCTATTGAATTTAAAACTACTATTTGTTACACGGGGTTAGGATCTATACTTCTCTGTCCTAGTCCGCACTAAGGCAGGCGAGTATTACGCTAGTGTTCCGTGAGAGTTTGTCTAGCGATGCAGTAGAGTGGTGTACTTAAATAGAAGGTAACAAAGGTTCGACAACTACTAATCTATATTAAATAGACTAACGAGTAATAATCTTATTAAGTAAAGTAACTAGTAAGAAAGTATAATTTAAGTTAACTATAA